CTGTTGTCCCAGCCCCTTCTCTCTGGGTCCTTGACTGGGTGCTCTCTAATCCCTAAACTGCCACTAACTCCTACCCTTAGTCTCCTTCCTCATGTTCCTTACCCAATTTCAGTCTCCTCTCACCCTCTCCTTTTCCAGTTCCTTGCCCTGGCTCTTTGACTCTGTCTTTCTCTCTCCTGGTTTTGTTCCACTATAATTTCTAGTTCCAGTGTCTTTGTTCAATCAGTCCTGGTTTTTCTTATCCAAAATCAGTGTCCTTCCAAGTGGATCCTCTCAAAGTCCTTCTCTCTATCTTTATCTATGTATTGGGTTTTCCTCACTCACTCCCACTGCCCACAGCTCCTGGTCGTCTTGCATGAGAAGTCCCATTCCATTCAGCTCTCAGTCAGTGGCTTGACTTTTGCCTCCTCCAATCTTAGTTTTACAAAGTCCTTGTTCCAATTCACTCCTTTCCCTCTCCCTATGTTGGGATTGAGGGAGCTCTCTGATCTCTTTTCTAGTGCCCAGCTCTGCCCTAATCTGGAGCATCAGTTGGACTGAAGCTGAAGTCCAGCCCAGAGCTAAACCCTCTTTACTCTTGGCTGAAGCTTCCCCATTCATTCTATGAGGATGGGACATTTAATCTGATCCACATTGGAAGCTGAAAGCCAGGCAGGCGCATCTTGATTGAGGATGGAATCTTCAGAGATCTTAGCTTTTATATGCTGTGATTGTATATATTTTACAAAAACCAAAAGATGCACCTCCCAAAGGTTCTTACAGTCTAATCCCAATACAGTAATTATGAGTATTCATAGCCAAATTCTTCTTTGCCTTAATCTTGCCCCTTGTAGAGGCACCAGTTTTTATTCTTCATCTCCAAGTTTTCCTGTTGAGTGCATCCTTCAAGCTAACACTCGCTTTGTATCCCTTAGTATCTCAATTTTGGGGGAGGGCAACCTCATAGTATTTGTCCCACGATTGCTAGATCCTCTCTTCTCCAGCCAACATACCTACTTCTTACCATCTCACGTGACCAAACCATCTGAGTTGATGCTCCTCAGTTTTTACATGATGCTGCAACATGTCTTGCATTATTCCATTATCTCTCATTTTACGTAGCATCCACCTGAATATGCTTCCAGAACACTTCCAGCAATCTGAGTGGAGAATTTTGAAGTGAAGCTGCATTCAAGCTGACTTTTGAGTGACGCTGCATTCTGAGTGGAGAATTTTGGTCTTGGTTTTTCAGTTTGTTATTCTTATTTTGCCCTAGGGCAGGGGTCGACAACCTATTACAAACATGGGCTTCAGCTTGCAACCCAGCCAGCACCCCAGGCCACTGTTCCCTTCTGGCTGCTTCAGCAACAGTGAGCAGAGGCTGCAACCAGAAAGGCCAGCCCTCCGTGTGTGTGGGCTCTCGATGCTGGCTGGAGCAGCCAGAGGTGATCAGCATGCCCTTAGCCAAACTGACTGGATCAAACAGCTGGGGAATTGGCATACCCTTAGTAAAACATGGACTGGATTGGACCTTTGTAGCCCAGATCTGGTCCACAGGCCAATGCCTGTTCAAGGGTATCCTGCCTCTCAGTTCAAGCACCTAACAAAAGCTCATCTGTGTTGAACTTCCTGGACACTTTTTGAAACTCACGGAACAAATATTTGTTACATGAGTTAAAAGTTAAATGAGTCACCAGAAACAATGGTGCTGTCCCAAACCATGCTTACAATAGCACTTGGGTTGCAATTACTGTGGAAGGAAAGATCCATCTTCCTTGTACAGAAATTGATATTTGTTCCTTCCATGATGCATTTTAATTGTTTTTGTGCAGAGTTGAGGTATTTTAGATTTTTTTTACTTTTTAGTTGGGAGTATGTAATGTAAGTGCAAAAGGGGTGTCATAAAACAGATTATTGCAAGGAAATGGAGCCCTGTTGTCTCTAACGCTTTCTCCTGGGCTCAGCTGTATCTATTGCAGTTATTGTCAGTATTTATATTACTGTTATGTCACCAGCATCATGAATTTTAAAACCTCATCTTGACAAGGCCTCATACAAAACTGTAGCGGGTTATCGCCTCGCTTGTCTCGCAAGGACTTTCACAGGTCATCTCTGGCTCAGCCTGTGCAACCAGTTAACACCTCAACATGATATTCAGCTGAGCCACTGTCTTGGACAGACTGTCATTTTAAATAAGACAGTGGTCAGACATCTTCTAGCTCCCGGCATCAAGAAAGACCAGGGGTGCTGGTTCAGCCACGAACACTTGTGGGCTTCAACAAATTCCAAAACTAGATGACTGCATTGAGCTGCCGAGTAAGGAGTCCAGGACTGCAGTGAATCACAATTGTATTCTAGCCTCAAGAAGTTCCTTTTTCTCCATCTCCTTCTTTAGCTAACATCTGTCACAGATGGAGATAACCAACATTTGAACACAGATGACAGAAATTAAGTTGGTTTCTCAAAGCATATACTAAAGCTTGATTACCCTGTAACCTGTCAAATCCTGCCTGATGGAGGTATCCAGAACATTTCATCAGTCTCGAGTGCCTACAGATCTTGGAGCTCAGATGTAAAATAGGCTGTAGAACACTCTT